TTTTTTTCTGGGGTGCCGATGACCACCGACCAATCTAGGGGCGCCGACTGTCGGCGTGGCTATTCTCGGATCGCAAATTGTTCACCATCCGTCCTTCTCCACCCTTCAAGTGGATTATTCTTCTTATTCATCGTCATTTTCAGTAGCATCTAACTTCAAATGTTTGTGACAGGTTAAATGGCTTGTTTAGGAGGTATAGTACTGGGGAGCAGCGGTTTGGAGAGAAGTGGGGAAGGATGTGTTTGGGCAATGACCAGCAGTACATTGGGCGGGTTACAGAGGCTCTGCTGGGCCTTTGACTTGAAGAAGTTAAGAGGGATCTTCTAGAAGCATCATTGCTGGCATTGGTTTCTGGGAGGTTGCTCAGACTATGCTGCTTATCATGTAGCAATGAATGAGATCAGGCGTCGATTGCTGCCAATTGATGGGGTCTGTGATTTTTCAAGAGGGCTCTTTCAGATGCGTTATCTCTGGGGTTGGCGTCTATGGGGACTTTCAGTGACATTCACTGACATACAATAACATGTGCTGCTAGTTGTCTTCCAGGGACCTTGGGTCTGTTGACACCTGGCACGTACACACAATACGGCTCTCAAGTTCAAGACTTGAGATGAGGGCTCCCCCTGTGCGTCATGCATCTTTTCACATCGGGCTGCATCCAACGGCTATCCTGTGGAGTTCGTCCTTCTGGGATGATCTCAGGGCAACAGAAGCAAAGCCACCAGGCTAACAGTTTTTATATGCTAAGCAGAAGACCGCCAAGCCGGCATCGTGTTTTTTGCAACCCAACTCTTCCCTTGGGGGAGGAGGAAGAATGACTCCTCTGTGGGTTCATCCAGATGCCCAGCTGCATAAAATGAGAGGGGAAGGTCCAGGTCAGAGTCCAGCAAACATGTCAGACAGCTGCATAAGAGGTGTGCAGCCAAATAAGCTTGTCATCGAAGCCTCAGTTATGGGCTTTAGAGTTCTATGAGCTTTTCAGTCATAGGACATAAACTTCATAAAGTAATATGGGCTGTGCAATGTAGAGAGCACAAGGGTTTGTGGTGTGTTATGTTCAGTAGATTGTTTTGCTGTTGTCTGTGAGGTTATGCCATGTACGCGGGGTTACCGAAGAGGTAGGTATTTGGTTACCTAAGAGGTAGGTATTGTATCTATGGTGTCGCTCTGCAGGGATCTGCAAAGTGCCATGCTAGGACTAGTACTCTATGGAGAGTACTATGTAGACTGCTATGCTACGTACACACGATAAAGCGATATGTACAGTGCTGTGTGGAGGTCTATGCCACGTACTATGCAGAGTGCTACGCTTTGTATATACACACGTTTAAGCATATGTGCAGGGCTGTGTGGAGGTCTATGCAAAGTAACATGTACTGTGCTATGTTATGCACACACGGTAATATAGTAATATGTACAGTGCTGTGTGGAGGTCTAATCCTGTAGGTTGCTTTGTGGGGTAGTATGTGGAACGCTGTAACTGCTGCTACGCTGCTATGCTGCTTCGTGCACATGACAAAAAGTAGAGGCTATGCTGCTTCGTGCGCACGACAAAGAGATACGTACAGGTTTGTGTGGAGGTCTATGGAAAGTAACATGCACAGTGCTAGGTTGCGTGCAGACGATTAAGTGATATGGACAGTGCTGTGTTGAGGTCTATGCTATGTTCAGTAGCTTGTATGGTGCTTTGTGGAATACTACGTGGAATGTTGTTACGCTGCTATGCTGCTATTTAGAAGGGGCTCTGATTCAGGCCACAGTGTAGAGTGTGATGCTGCGTACTATGCTACCACAACAGCTTTGCTTTATGCTATGTACATAGAGATTGTAGGGTGACACACTATGCAGAGTGCCATGTAGAGAATTATGTTCGTGCTATGTAGGTTGACCGCTAGAGAGAGAGAGAGAGAGAGAGAGAGAGAGAGAGAGAGAGAGAGAGAGAGAGAGAGAGAGAGAGAGAGAGAGAGAGAGAGAGANAGAGAGAGAGAGAGAGAGAGAGAGAGAGAGAGAGAGAGAGAGAGAGAGAGAGAGATGTACTTTGTACAGGCTATATTATATAAGATCTATACTGTGTAGATTGCTGTGTCAGGTGCATCATTTGTCTTTGTTCTTTTTTCCGTGCATCATTTGTAATAGACTACCAATAGTCACACTCGTTCTTTTTTCTGAACTTAGCAGCAACGGACATCATATCAACCTTCATATGCGTACCAACAAACACCCTAGTAAATGGACAAGGAATCCTAAGGTCATACTCTCTCATCGCATTACGACATCGGAATAGATTTTGCCATCCTAACGGTCAGATACATCCAGCAAATCCTACTGTGAGTTAAATACACTGCGAGAACAGGGGTTTTTGAAAGGAGACTTTATACCCACGGCATGAGCAGGTCTTGCTTATTCATTTGTTTGCTTGTTTATTATTATTTTATTTTTTAGCAGTTCTTTCTCATTCATTAGTTTTGATATACCATCCTTGCACTGCCCTTGTAACATAAATAGCACTGTCACAGTGCCACCAGATTCTCAGTAGTGAAGCTATAGAAAGAGAGGTGCCTTTTGTCAAATGAAGTGAGATTATTGTACCCTTTGGTTGGGCCCATTTTCCAGTCCTCCTCTTTTGCCACTGAAAGTGGGGCACTCTTTCTGTTCCCCCTTAGTTCATTTTGATCGACCGCCATCTTCTTCCAACTCTCCTCCATTTCCAGTCAAACATCTTGTGAACTACCTCATTTACAAGGGGTAAGAGATACTGGCCATTGACTATGAAGATCAATGTGCTCCTTCCCAGCCAAGGTCAAACACTTGTCACCCACAGAGGAAAGAAGGAGAATTAGAGAACCACTAAAAAAAGTTGAAAACTTGAGAGACGCAGAACCCAAAGTCGCGTACCAACAGAGGGGCCGCAATGAAGTCATGGTCCTGTGTGCTGACCCAGATTACACCGGATTCCTTCTCTCTCTCTGGGCTTTATACTGCGAGGGCTCTGTGATTACGATTTCCAGCTGGAAGCCCAACAGATCTGCCCCACAAGGCTCCTCATGTCACAGACAGGCCTTAATGAGCAAATACTTCTGGATCCAATCCGACAACCTGTCGGACGGGGCATGCACAGCCTGGTTGAAGAGAAAATGCTACAGACCTGTCCTCAATGCCTCATTGTGGAATGGGTGTCGTCTGCATCAGGTTTCCTCTCCCCCAGCACCAACTCCAGAATGACTTGTGTGGAACTGAAAACCAATAGCTCGCCTGAATTCCCAGGCAAATGGTTTTTCGGAGTGGGACAACAGGTTCAGAGTCTTCAGACAGTTTACATTTCCACAAAGGCAAACCCCATGTGCTTCACATGCAGAATCAAGGGGCACATATTGAATGGCCCTCTCTGCCCCCTCAACACCCACAACGGTGAAAGGCGAAGCCTCAGCCAATCCATGCTGGTTGAGGCAGAGGCGATGAGAGGTATTTGCATCATCAACGAACCCGCCTTTGCTGCCTGAGTCTTCGATGAAGTGAGGGACTCGCCAGCCTGAGTGTGGACTTTGGCTGACCCTGAACCTCCCTGCAAACCTGACATTTTCCCCCTCCCATGGCAACAGATGGCTAACGAGTGGATAAATACACTCACAAGCATACCGAAGTCCTACTGGGTTCTGCACTTTAGATGGAGCAGACCATGCACAAACAGCAAATTCTCAGAGAAGTGCACAGCATTGGGAGGGAAGCAGAAAAGGATTACCTCGAAAATCTGCTGACCAGAGATGAATTCAAAGTGAAGTAGAATACAGGCAGAGGGGAAAGAAGCCAAGCGAAAAGGAAACTGAGAACTGAGAAATGAAGGTGCCAGCAAAGGAGTCTCCATCTCCTCACTTGATGTAAAAAAGAGCAGATAAAACACAACGTCAGGAGGCTCAGAAGAGGAGGAGGAAATGCATGTTGATTTGTTAACACTGGGGAAAGGACCGGACCGTACACAAGAGTCTGTGAGTGAAGAGGATCAATCCCGCTCACTGGAGTGGCTGTCAGAATACATTGAGTCACTACGGCCACACAGAGAGCTGGATCTGGACATCAGATTGGCAAATGTCAGGCGCATCAACAACCTCAAAAAAGCCGAAGACTCAACCAGCTCAATCGGGTTGCCCACCTTACCAGACCCGTGCGAACTGTCACAGTCTGAGAGCAACTTTTCAGAGTTACTGGCACAGCAAGACGTGGAAAAACACGTGGAAGAACATATTGATGGAATGGAAACAGAGACCCATGACACAGCCTCCCAATCTCCGGTCTGGCCCAACTCTTACCACAGAGAAGACAAGGGGAAGGCTGCAATAAATGAATCACCTGAAGGGAACGAAGAAGAAAATGGAGGGCAAAGGGAAGAAGAAGGTAGAATGGTATCTCTGGCTAACGACTTTGTGGGCGAAGAAAGGTATCAGAATGCAAAATTGAGAAGAAAAATAGCAATCCTAGAGAGACAGACAAGATACCTGGAGGACCAGAATCAAGAACTGGGCAAGGCGTGAGTAACTTTTGTAATCTCTTCTGACTTGCCCGTGGAATAGGAACCGGACTGATCCTCTCCAGAATGGAAAGGAGGCAGAACTGTAACTTTCCGTTCCCCCCCCCCCCCCCCCCCCCTTAAAGAACTGGGCGAGGTCACCCCCTCGCTGAACAGGATTGCAGACGAAGACCCATCGGAGCTTACACTAACAGCAAGTATTGATTCCCGCTCGCTGTCCCCAACTATCCCAATCCTCCCATTTTATTACGACTCCAAGAAGGGAGAGTGGCAGATTGCATTTCGCCCCACACTGGAGATAGTCACAGCACAGGAATCAGACCAACAAGCTCACGTCTTGAAAGCCAAAATCTCAGACCAACACCCCCAAACTATCTACAGGGCAGGCCACAATGAGCGCTTCCAGGTGAGATGGGAGGACGCTAAGGGGGAAAGGCAGAAAAGGGACATGAGGCCCTACATGGTCATCTATGACCATAGAGCACAGCTGAAGGAAGGGCTGAGTGGAAATCCTGGGACGTGATCTGCGAAATCCCATTTCCACTGCTGGGCCAAAAAGAGGTGGTGGAAAGAATCGCCCACAGTGTGGCCACATTTCTAAGAGAGAATGGTCGGGGTAGAAAGCGGACGAAGCGCTGACGAAGGTAAAGGAGGAAAGGAGGACCTCTATAATCTATGCATATCCTTAGTGATCCCCCTTTCTTCATAAGAAATAAGACGTGCGCACCGTAGAGAGATGTACTAGACAAAATCCATCCCGTCTCTGTGAGCTCTTTCAATTGCCGCCAAAGTTCATCCAACTCGTCTAGTGCCATCCTATAGATCCTCCCCTTTGGCGTTTTACTGCCTGGAATGATTTCTCTGGTGTGGACAACTTCCCTCTCTAC